AATGGACAAAAAAGTTTATGATAGTGTTCATGCTCTGCCGCTGAGCACATAACTCTGCTAAAAATCTGTTGACTTAGTAACATCCTTATCTGAGCTTCATTTTTCTCACGAAAGAGTTTCAGAACATTTTACCTAATACTTTTGAATTCTTAAGCAAACTTGATTTCTCCGAAGATGTAGTGTGCGATAAAGTTATCTTTCTAGTGCTGAGATAAGAGTTCTGATAAACTTTGTTGTCTGTGTACTCGATAGCTCATTAGGTTGTGCTGAGACTAGTACGGATTGTAAGTGTCGGTAAACAATGGAAGACGGATACTTGTGAATCATGAAAGTTCTTAACTACGATAATGGAATGGTCGAAATTTCTCCAATAACACTTTTTCCAATAGGACATTTGCCAACGGCGACAGTCCAGATCGTGTGTTGACTAAAGTAGGGTAGAATTTCGCAAGCTGTCACGAAATAATATTAATATAGAATACATGTGAAGGCTGAAGTAACAATGTTATAATATATATATATGTCATAGCTTTTACTCATCAATGTAGTTAACAGGAATTTATGTAATCCATACTTAATTTACAGTCAAATTGGCGAAATTCTGAAGCTCCCGATCGTGTATACCCTCTACAGATTTTTCTCATTGGCTTTCTTGTTTTTTTCCTATTTGAGGTATGTGATGTCTGTGCTGTTCATGATAACTTAAAATAGATAAGAAACAAAGAAAAAAAGCAGCGTTTCAGACTTGTTGTGCCTTAGAGTTGGTGACGGTTATATTTTTCTCTTGTTATACGTTCTTCAACATCAAGCATTACTGTGTTTTCTATCATTGTGTTACTTATCTCGCCGTTACCCTCAATAGTGGCAACAACTTCACATGGTGACCAGGATAATTCAAGTATTCTACAACAAGTTTGTTCAAAACTGGGTCTCAACGAAGATCAATGTTGCAAGTTGAGTAAAGCCAGCTCGTTTGCTGGATACGCAGCAGCAGCTGTTGGTATTCCTGCTCTGCTCGCCTATATGGGTTTCACTGCAACTGGTATTACTGCTGGGTCGTGGGCTGGATGGTATCCATCAACATATGGAATTGGAACTGTCTTTTCATGCCTGCAAAGTGTCTCGATGACAGGCATAGACGCATCGGCTGTAACAAAAACAGATGTGGTGGCGACTGCCATCAAAAGTTATTTTTTCACTAGTGATTGCAAGAAGAAATCAACAGAAGATGATGAATGTCGAAAAAAATAATTGATGAACAATATATTAACTGATGCATACTTTTTTTGAATTACAATTCTTCACACTATTGCAAAGCAATTGGTTAACTTAAGGAACTTATTACTGTGTAATACCTCATATACACTCGATTGTATCTATTCTCTCTCTTTTCAATATCTTTTGTTTCTTTCTTTGATCTCTTCTTTGTATTCATTTCATATTGTCCATTATTATTGGTGATTTAACTGAACTCGTTCTTTCTTTCCTCATTTTTTTTCTATATTAGTAGATTTAAATTTGTTTATTTATAAAAATGTAAGCAAAACCGAATTTTAACATTATTAAAATATTCAATTTAAAAAAACACTATATGAATACCTTATTTTTGTTTTTTATTCCATGTTTCGGAAATTAAATTGCCATTATCAAGATTATTGTACCAACAAAACGTAATAAAAGAAGAATTATTATTAATATTATTCTAACATTGATGAGGGTGAAAGTGTAATTTCTATATGTAGGGTGCTAGTTTGAGTTGGTTGTGAGTGATGAGAAAATGCACACCCACACTGCGTAGTAACGAGATCATTTAAGAATCCATTTCATGGAGTAAATGTTCATTTTCTACATGCTGCATGTGCTTGTATCATATGTCTGCAAATTGAGATTCGTGGAAAGTGAAATAGGAACTACACTTCTATCAAACATCATACCGATTCGAGATTGCGTTGATTTGTCGCTGCGACCAATTGCCGCTTTTATGCCAACAAATGACTTATACCACCATGTAAATATCAATGAAATGAACTTACTTCCGATCAGCTAACATGGATTATTAAAAACCTGACTCTTCCAAACAGTACAAATTAAAACCAACAAGGTCAAATTAAAACCTTAGTTCGTATTAGTACTCAAAAGTAACATTTGAGTGATATTGAATTTTTTTTATGTAATTCTCTTTGTTATTAGTCATGTGTGTATTTTTATCGGTTTCAGACGTTTCTAGGAAAAGGAGCTGTGAAGAACCCATCACGATGCATATTGGAATAAAAATACTTTGTCACAGCTGTGAAAAACTGCGTGTCCAAAATGTCTGTATAACATTCAAAGTCTTACAACTAACAAACCAGTCGTGCTAAATTTAGTTATTATTTTGGTTTAAAGTTAATTTTTAACTGATTTAAATTTGTTGCTACTCCTTTTGTCAAAAGTTTTCAAACATTTGCTAGTGTAATGAACCTCATGCAAGGAAATCAATTACTAGTGCTCCTTGAATGTAACAGCTAGGCAGTACGACAGTAAATAGCCGACATAGTTCACTAATCGAAACTGACTTGTCTAAAATAATTCCACAATTTGATCATACGAGAAGGATAATATAGCATCTGTGAAATATGGTGTGCATGTGTGGTATTGGTTATGGGTTTAGGTGTAGGTGTGACGGTAGAGGGCGAGTGTGAGTATCAGTCTAACGTTCATTCTAACCTACATAGTTACTCGCACAACCACATTCACCGTCGAATAAGATGAGGGTGTCAGTGGCCGTGGCTACGGGTGTGTAGCTGAGATGTCCATGGCAGCAGTAGATTTTTTTTTAGGAGAAACTAAAAAATGGATGAATCTGAACAAAAATTCAGTGTTCGCAAGTGCGAAACTATGAGACTCAACGAATCTTATCGATTATTAACAATAGTTCTAGTCCTGAACAGTCACAGTTGTAAAATTCACAACGTTCTTCTAACAACCATCGTGACAGCGGTCAGTTTTCAACCACGATGGACATCTCTGGTGTGCAGTGTGTGTAGGTAAGAGTGAAGAGAGCACTCCATCCGCAACTTTACTCTACATTTACACACTCAAGAAGGACGCATTTATTTTTTTGTGCATGATTATCATATGGAAAGATTTTGTGCATTTGGCGAAAGACATCTAACGCATGCTTCATGAAAAAAATAGCATTGCTTTTTTCAAAGCACTTCTAAGATAAAAATCTCTGTCTAGATTATTTTTGTGTAATTCTCATGTTGTTAAAGTGTTAACTAGGACGATTTCTACTGATATCAGTTTATCAGTAATTGTCTTTCTCTTTTTTACATATAATAAGTCTCTTTTTTAAAAGTAAAATCTTATGCAAGAGATAAGATCGTAAATTGATACTAAAAAAAAAGGAGATATCATTTTATTATAAGCCCAACACAGGTTCTTTTTTCATTAAAAGAAAAAATGTCAGACAAAATGGTAGCATCTAACCTCCGAGTCATTTTCAATCAAGAAGACGAAATATCTAATAGATGTGAACCTCTTTATTTGCCTACCATTGACAATACATTATCACTACCGAGGTTTGACAATGCATGTCAAACACTATTAGATCATGAATTGTTGGATATTCAATTACTTGAAAAAGTTAATATAGCTCGTAATCATCCGAATACGAACCAATTACTCACATCTGATGAAGCAGCATCAATATATTTATATACAATGAAATGGAATGACGAAACACAAGGCAGTTTTTATGCAAAGCTTAATTCTACATTAAGAACAGGTGACGAGAATTCATTAAAACCATGGCTTGATTATCTTCGTCTTTTTGCAAGTGCTTTATTTAAGTTACCGTAAGCATTTCCTATAGATATCTATCTTTTTTCCATGAATACAAAATATTTATATGGTAGTCATATCTATATTTTCTAGATCTATCGAATCAACAATTGTATATCGTTGTGTAAAGGGTCATCTGTATGATCAATATCAAGAGAATACTACACATGTATTATTATCATTCATTTCCTGCACAAGGTCTCTTGAAGATCTCGAAGAAAATACTACTATGGAACAATGTACGATGTTCTTTATGAAGACATATTCGGGTAAAATGATTGATAAATACGGTGGTGACTCTGGTGAAGTTTTGCTTTTGCCGGGTTCTCGTTTTCAAGTAACGAAAATAAATAATGAATCAAAAATGCACATCATCGAAATGAATGAGCTAACAACAGAGTCAAACCATGTACAAAATTGGGTAGTACAAGATACAGAGATCAGACAACGAAGACATGAAAATCAAAATGAACAAAAAGTGTATCAAGAAACAACAACTCATCATCAGCCGGCAACAAATAGAGCAGGTAAATTTGATAAAACTCTAAGTGAATGAGATACGGTCTGTTTTGCTCGACAAATGGTAGCAACTTGGAAGCAGAAATTCAATGACTGGATTTATCTAGATCAGGTCGAAATCGACTGCAACCTCACAGAGTCAGAGTCGAGAACTGAATATGATTACTGGATTCTGCTTTCAAAGTTCCTACCATTTTCTGGAGTTTTCTGACTGAAAACGGCGTCTTTCCTGCAGATTCTGGCAGGAAATTTACGGATCCGCAGCGCCAGACTCATTGACCAGAGACTCAAAGAAATTAATTTTATTGAATGTTCAAACAATACTCACATCATATATCATTGTTTTTTCGTTTCAATTTTAAGCTTTGGAAAATAATAATCGAACCGATGATACCAAGAACAAGAATCATCAAATAGTAAGTTAATAATTCAAATTTTTATTATGTAGTGTTTTTACATTGTATAGTGGTGGAAACAACGGAACATAATCATTGCATTGAGTATTACTATTATTATTTTCTTGATTGGTCCATTTCTTTATTGGTCACTTTCTAAAGACCAAATGTCAACGAAACCTAGTGAGTAACATCTTTTATCATCGACAAACCAAAAATGACACGAAGAAATAAAAGATTTCGAACGAGTAACTACTCGTTTTTGAAATGATATCAACACAACTAGAAAACCTGACTTTAACTTTTTCATACCATGTACATGCTAAAAGATTTGGTTTGATTTCTTTCCTTGCTGCATTTTTCAATATGAGAAGTGGAAGCACGAGCGATGTTTTTGTACTCCTAAAAATCTTTAGTGTCGTTATGAAAATATCCAGAAAAGAATAAAGGATGTTCCAAAAAAATACACGAAGAAATGGCGAAATATCTTTGCATGCCCGCACACTTATTACAAATTTTCTCAATTTCTCTACGTATTTGTCCGAAAGCCTTTAAATTGCGATGGATTCGAATCGATTTTCTCGAAAGTGTCACTTATCTAAATTTCATGAAGTATTATATATGAATGACACATGTTTAAGGAAGCTATGTCTGTAGGCTAGATAGAAATGATGAGTAAAATAGGCAATTGGTAAATTTATTTTTTTGGAAACTGAATATTTACAATAAGGAGACATCGCTCAAAGTTAGACATTTTCGAAGACGAGAGAGAGAGGAACAAGGATAAGTACTGCTGACGCAAAACAATATGCAACTAAAATCTATTTTGCACGCAGATCCATACGAACAAGTATTACTGGACGAGAAAGGGCATGGTCATGGTACTCTCTTATTTTCTGATGGAATAAAGTATGACGGGGAGTACAGCCATAACATACCTAATGGAAAAGGCTCATTAACTTTGCCTAATGGTGAGTATTACAATGGAGATTTTAAAGATGGCAAAATGCATGGTCATGGTATTTTTCATTATTCTGATGGAAACAGATATGAAGGTGAATTCATCAATAATATACCTAACGGAAAAGGCGTATTAACATGGCCTAATGGCGACTACTACAAAGGAGATTTCAAAGATGGTAAACAACATGGTCACGGTATTTTTCATCCTTCTGATGGAAACATATATGAAGGTGAATTCGTCAATAACATACCTAACGGAAAAGGCACATTAACGTGGCCGAATGGTGATGAGTATAAAGGATCTTTTCTACTTGGACTTAGGCATGGGTACGGCACACTTATCTATAAAAATAGAGACAAATATGTCGGAGATTGGGCTGCCGGCAAAGAAGATGGAAATGGAATCAAAGTATGGTCGAGTGGTAATCAATATGAAGGTGGATGGAGGAAGGGAAAACACTATGGTGAAGGTACTCTGATTCTTACAAATAAAGAGAAGTATGTAGGAAACTGGAGAGATGGTAAGAAGGATGGACACGGTGTGTATACATGGCCTAATGGCGAGCGTTATGAAGGATATTGGAAAGATGATATACAGCATGGATTTGGTACTACTATTTATGCAACAGGAGAAAAATTCGAAGGCACCTGGATTCATGGCAAGAAGGATGGGCAAGGCGTATATACATGGTCTAATGGCACCTATTACAATGGAAATTTCAAAGATGGTAAACAAAATGATCATGGTATTTTTAATTATTCTGATGGAAAAAAATATGAAGGCGAATTCATCAATAACATGCCCAATGGAAAAGGCGTATTGACTTGGCCGAATGGCGACCGATATAATGGAAGCTTCAAGGATGGTTTAATACATGGTAATGGCACTTTTGTGTTTACAAACGGGGAGAAGTACGAAGGTGGTTGGATCAATGATAAGAAAAATAATCAAGGTGTATATACTTGGCCGAATGGCGACCGATATAATGGAAGCTTCAAGGATGATTTAAGACATGGTAATGGCACTTTTGTGTTTACAAACGGGGAGAAGTACGAAGGTGGTTGGATTAATGATAAGAAAAATGATCAAGGTGTATATACTTGGCCAAATGGTGACCGATTTATTGGCAATTGGATGAATGATGATAAACATGGTTATTGTGAGATGCATTACACAAATGGAACAAAAGTTTTAGGCGAATGGGTTTCAAATGCATGCGTTGGTCGTAATAGTAGCACATCTATATTTGTTATTGCTAAATATCTATGTTCAGTTGTGTTGATTATTTGCCTTTTATTTCATTGTTTATCATAATAAGCATACGAAGAATTTGAACAATATAATAATTTATTTCAATTTTCAGGCAAAGCTAGTTTTTTTCGAACTCACATATATTTTCGAAGAAAATAGTGAGTGAAAGCTTCAAAATTAAAGTTTCGCGGCTTCCCTCCCCTCTCTTCATTACAGACACTTAGCAATGGAACCTTGCCCCCCCCCCCCCTTCCCCATTACAGACCTTAGCAATCGAGAATAAGTGTCAGATTTTCAAGAGTTTTTTTATTAAATTGATCAAGTTATAATTTTAAAAAAATAATGAACATGATTATTTGTAAGTTGATTAATATATATGATACGAAATTTTCGATGAGTCTTCATTCGATAGATGTAATGCTTTTTTAAATTCTTACTTTTGAAGGAGAGAAAAGGGATGAAAAATTCAATGTCTCAATAAGCGGTGCTCTTATTGTAAAAGTGCTCTTCTATATAACAGTAGTTAAGGTTAAAATCAAAAAAGGAACTCTGTCATGTCCTGTATCTTAACATGTTCTTTCAAGAATTTTGAGATGTGCGACCAAAAAAGTATAAACGAAAATAACCGAAAAAGATTTTTTGTTTTCTCTGAAAATAGCATATTTTTTCAGGAGGATGATGACAGAAATCATTAAAAGAAATTCTCAAAAAGAAAAGTGCCGAATAAAATATCTTGTTCTTTCTGGAAGATCAGACTGCGGACTATCTTTCCATTCATTTCTCTTAATTTCTGCCATTCTAATGAAAACTGACTTTTTTCGAGGATAAAGCTTTAACTCTCTCCGAAATATATAACTTAATATATAGGCTTGTTTTCCTAGATAGTGCTGTGCAGCATGTATTTTTTTAAAGTTTTATATCTCGAAGAGACTTAGTCTGAAAATTCTGAAACTTCTTTTTTTACGCAAGTTACTCAATGTGACATCTTGGTGTGGGTAAAGTTTCAGGTTGACATTGCAAAAATATGGTCTTGCTACAAATATAGGGATTCTACAACCGAAATTTACTAAAAAATATGTTCGATCTCTTCAAAAACAAGCCATAGACATGAAGTCTATTGTGGTAAACATAGTCCACTAACACTAAATTCCTGATCGAAAACAAACGGACATCTAGGAATATTCTTTCGTTAGGAATTTTATACCAATATTACATAGAAACAGAAGAATAAATTATTAACTAGATCATTACTAATAGTTCCAATAACTTAACTAAACGTGAAAGTCTTCATGCTAATAAAATTGTTAAAATAAATTTATGGCTATTAAACACAACATATTTTCATATCTATGACTCTCAAAAAAAAAAAAAAAGTACTATAGTCATAAAGCGCACTCTATCGATTTGTAAAAACATTTTATTGGCTTTTGCATATTACGATAGAGAAAAAAAACAAAGAAATTGCATCTATTACATAAAAAACACATGCAATTTATTTAGATTGATACGAATATATATATATATTTGATTATTTTCAGATTATAATTCTTCTTCGTAATAACCAACTATGACTGATAATCTTTCAAAAAGTCTTAAATCAACTGAATATGAATTATCTTGGGCAAATCGAGGTTTAAAAGGAAATAGTGCTGATGATGGTAAACTTTTCTTTTTTTTTTTTTTGTTTAACTAAAAAACAAAATTTCACTGTGATTTTCTATATATATAGTCAAAGAATTGTGTGATGCAATTGAACAATATAATCAATTAATAGCTTTACGTCTTGAAGGAAATACAATTAATGAAGAAGCTGCAACAGCTATTGGTAAAGCATTAGAAAAACATAGTGAAATTCAAGTAAATACTTATGCACTCTTTTATTTATTGTTGTTTTTTTATACTTAAATTTTAGCGTTTAATTTGGAATGATTTATTTACAACACGACTTAAAACAGAAGTACCACCATCATTAGTAAGATCGAATTTAATAATAAAAAATAATATTGAAATATTTGTTTAATAGATTAAATTAACACAAGGTCTTATAACTAATGGCGCTCATATTGTTGAAATTAATTTAAGTGATAATGCATTTGGTCCCATTGGTGTTAAAGGTTTTGAAACATTTCTTTGTTCATCAGCATGTTTTACACTTGAAGAACTTCGACTTAATAATTGTGGTTTAGGTAGTGAAGGTGGAAAAGTAAGTAAATGAAATTTTCCTTTTGTTTTTTTTTTTTATTTTTATAAGAATATAATTCAATTAAATGTTTTAGTTATTAGCTGAAGCATTGATTACATGCCATAAAAATAGTCAAGGAAAATTTGCTTTAAAACAATTTATATCTGGTCGAAATCGTCTTGAAAATGAAGGTGCACAAGCATTAGCAAAAGCATTTGAAGTATGATTCTTTTTCTTTTTAGTTTGAAATTTTTCAAAAATAATATCTTTTTTATCTTGTAATTAGACTATTGGTACATTAGAAGTAATTCGTATGCCACAAAATGGTATGCGACCACCAGGAATTGAAGCATTAGCAAATGCATTTGTACAAAATCAAAATTTACGTCTTATTGATCTTAATGATAATTCAATAACATTAGCAGCTCCAAAATTATCATCAGCTATTGAAAAATTACCAAAATTAGAAATTCTTAATCTTGAATCATCACTTATACGTACAAAAGGTGCTATTGCTATAGCACGAGCCATTGTTTCACATAAAAATCTTCAAGTAATTTAATTCTTTTCTTTTTCTTTTTGCTTCTATGAAATAAAATAATTTATTATTTTAGGAATTATATCTTGGTTGCAATGATATGCATACTGAAGGTGCACTTGAAATAGCACATATTGTAAAAAATATGCCATCATTAAGAATATTAGATTTAAATGGTTAATTTATTTTCTCATGATTTTTATTTCTTAAATAAAAATAATATTTATTTAAGGTAATTGTTTTGGTCCTGATGGTATTGATGAAATTCGTCATGCACTTGAAAATAAAAATTTCGTTCATCAAATGGTATTCAGGTAAGCTAAAGATAATATAAATATCTAGAGAATGTAAAAAAAAAATAAATAAAAGATATTCAATTAAATGAGAAAAATGATTGACTAGTTGGTTTGAATCTATGTGTAGTTACTTCACGATATACTAATAAACGAGGTACTTCTAGGGGTGTTGAACGTTTTTTTTTTTTATTTGGAACTAGAGAGTAAAAAAAACACAATAAAGCAGAAGAGAAACGAAAAACTCATAGGAGGAATCACATGAAACAAAACAAAATACAGTTATATGTTTGTAGGAACGTGTAAAGTCATGTGTTCACTTGTATTACTATAAGTTTAGAATATCTATTTGAAATGATGACTACATAGTGCTATATCTTCATTCAAACTACTTAGATTCAATGCTAGAAGTTCATGGTGTGGGTATGAGCATTGTCGGTTAAATAGGTAAAGAGAGTTACATACACTCAACTTACGAGGGAACCGCCCGAAGTGATTCAAAGCTTTTAAGCCGATATTTTGCCGATAAGTAGAGTCCAATGAGACTAGAAAAAGCTCAAAAGTAGAAGGGCCCATGGGCCTTCCTTCTCGAGTTATGGTCATTTTACTGGGTTTATCACCTATGATACGATATTCACCGAAAAATCAAATTAAGGAGTTTCGACCTGAAATTTTGCCCACATGTAGATCTTAGCCTGAAAGTTTAAGCCAAAACGAATGCACTGTTCTCGAAATATTAAGTTTTCAAGAAAAGTCGATTCTTTTGGTATGTATGCAACATGGCACTNGTAGTTTTTTGATTACGAACAACTCCCCAGTAGGCCCACGATTGATAAAATTCATCCGCTGCTTCTAGAGCCCATCGGAGTTGTTCGTCGCACGTCGGTGAATCATCACATCCGCCAAATTCAGTTAGAAATGCTGAGCCACCTAACCGAAGAAGATCAACCTAGAAAAAGAATGACTATTTCCACTGTAAAAAGATTTAATCCGTAGCGCTTGACAAGGATAAAAATATGAAATATACATGATCAATCAAATTCTATATCAACAGAAAGAGTCATTTAGCATTAAATATTTTTACATACAACAAGAATATTCTCAGCTGACTGCTGTCTTTGTCTGTTTTGTGATTACGATTGGAATATGTTTATTACCCCATTTTCTCGGCTTATTGATGCCAGTCATTTTTCTCCGTTTTATTTTTTCCTTTAGTCATCTTATGTTGGGATTGAATACTTAGATTCATTTCGTTGCCGCTATACCTTGGAACTTACAATAGTACATTCAGGTGGTCTCTTTAGTCGATGCAACACTCACTTCCACCTCACACTAGCATTTCTTGCAGCATATCTTATCATCTCTCACAAGACATACTGGCATAGTTTTAGCCACCAACGTTGTAACCTTTCAAATAATTTTATTCATTATGTAATTCCGATTATTAGACTTTTCTGCATTGTGGAACACTCTAGGGCATTCCAAAACGTTCTCGAAAGACAATTTCGTTGATCATTGTTCCTACTACCATGTAGAGATGGAAGCTAGAACTTCTCAATGAATATTTGATCTTCACTAATACATAGTGAATTCAATGAGAGTGAGGATGAGAGAAAACAAAAGTATTATGAAAATTGAAAACAATGAAAATATTCAATGAGAAAAGAAAATTTTTCAAAGAGTTTCGTTTCATTTTTGTGATCGAATCTACTCAACATTTCGCACGTTTAGTTCACAAACGTTAACAGTTACACTTGTCTAAGAATACACTCAATGCCTGTACTTGGTGTTACCTCTAAAGTAGAGCATCAAGCTTACATTAAAATATACAATCACTACTTTCTATTTAGAGAACTCATCGAAATAATCGAGTTCTTTCATTCTTACTCGAACAGATTCAAAGACAGCCGGTCCCTCGACGTCATCACAAAGAACACGTTCAAAGGTGGGTATGGTACCATTGCCTGGAACGGGATCCAGCGACAAGACCATGCAATAATAATGATAGGACAAAACACTGCGATCACGATAGGAGTCACCGCCTGGTACGTGAGTAAATCCAGTGCCAAAGTATTTACCATTCAGTCGAACTAGAAAGACAATTCTCAATTTAGCATCACTTTCATATTTTTACCGACCTCCCCATGTCACTGGTTCATAGAAGATCAGCGTCTTGTCGTCTACTGATCGAATCGCTTTAGCTAATTTATCATAAAACGGTTGCAAATTCGTCGAGCCAGCAATGCCAGGCAACAACAAGAATGGATTGGCAATGTAATTTCCAGCCCAAGGCTCATTAATCAACTCATACCTATTGGAATTGTCACGTCATCATTTTAACCATAGATTGACGAAAAAAAAACATCCTGTTTCAATGAGAATCCCCGAAGAAAATTATCGGGACGCAAAAAGATTTGCTTGACAAATGATGTTTAGAGTAGAAACAAAAATTTTTGAGAGCTGCTATGCTCACTCTGAAATAGTTGTTCTTATGAACAAATCAATTCAATAAAAAGCTCACCCCAGAACATTTGAATATCCTTTGAACGTTTTAGCCACTACTCGCCAGAAGTTGCTCATTGATTCGACAGCACCGGACACATTGTCATACAAACATTGAAATCCGTGTGAGCATGCTTCCGTTATATATCTTGTTTTGAAGTAGTAAAGGTTAGATATTTTAATGAGATCTATTCCACTTACCCGAAAAACCAATCTCCAACTGGTGGTGCCGATTGCAATGGCCAAGGATCTGAAAAATAATGGATATTTGAAGTAATCATAACCTATCAGTTGTACACGGTTACTAACATGCATGAGCTGGTGCCGGAAATTGATCATATAACCATGCTGGTATGCCATCATATGATTGAACTCGGCTACTCAAAACATCTTGGTGCATATCGAGCAGAACAAAAATGTTGTGGGATTTCAATAGTTCGACGATTTGTTTCATGGTATCCAAATAGGTTTGATTGTATTTGTGTGATTGTGGCTCGACGCCAGACCACATTATTCTAAATAAAACCTACGGTCAAAACTCTTGAAAAATCGAAATAGAACGTACCCAAGTCGAACAAAGTTCAAACCCCATCTTTCCATATTAGCCACAAAGTCCTCGTCGAGTAATTCACTTGGATACCATGGAAACCCTTTCATGACAAAATTGGCGCCGTGATAGATGCGAACCCGACCTGCACTATCCATAATGTACGTGCCGTTGGTATACACATTGGCCGAACCGTGGCAGCAAATAATAAAAAATGTAGAACAAATAGCGAATACTATTAACGTCTTCATCTGCAAATGAAAATAGGTCAGTGTATGTTGTTAACTGTGTTGATATATAAATATTTGTTGGTGGTTGTGTGATAGATAAGGTTGCATAGGCGTGCTTACCCTACTATCTTTGAAGACAAAGTACATAAAGCAGGCTTTCAAAACTCTCTAGTGACATCGCATTTTCAGCAGTTCCACTACTACTTGATTCAACGTTTTTTTCAGTCTAAAAAACTTGCAACGCAATATATTTTTCTCAGGTTTTGTTTATTGATGAGAAGTTCTGTTTGTGCTTTCTTTCTATTTTCTCTGCCACTAACTACATCTTCAACAATCCTCGATACGACTGTTCTTCGATTCATCTGTTCTAACGTAAATGATAAGGAGCTCCGGACGCATCGAACGATATCACGATTGCATCAAACATAGTGACAGAGGACAACTTTAGCAAAGATAAACCGACACAGAATCTCTCACTTTCGTCTTACTGCTTTTGCTGCTCTCATATTGAAATACTGCAAAATGGCGAACCTGTAGTAGTTTGCATGAAAGCTCCTATCTAGGATAAATTAGAAAACATGCTTGCTTTACTGATGCAAATTCCCATCGTAGTAAATTCATATGGAAACAGTAAAATCTAGACCCAAAGATAATCATTGTTTTCTTGAGAATTTTCTTTCTTCAAAACATAGCTTGAACTTTTGGCCACAATCCAAAACCAAATTTTACGCTTATCATTTGTTTCCATAGCCTTACTTTCTATGGTTCCTTGCCTATCATCGTCTCTCTTGACATAGTGATATTTACTGTTGACCAGTTCGCCATCATTGCTGGTCGTTTGCATTATTTCTCTCTGGTACGGACGATTTCTGAAGCTATCTCTTGTATAGAATATGTACTGTCTTGTGCACTCTAGATAAGGCATGATGACAAAGCAGTAAAGCGATCCGTAGTAATTAGAATGAGACCATTACACACTTGATACATAGTTTGCTCTTTATATATAATGGACGGCCGAAAACTAATTGCACTGTCAGTATGCTCACTTTTTTTTTTATATCTTCAATTCACTTGACAAGACTAATACTTTACGAAAAAATTTGACGCGAAATTTCAGAAAACAAGACGTGTTAAATGTTTTATTGTACAGTCTGAACATGGAGAGTGGCATATAAGGTTACGCAGAATAACAAGATGTTGACGAGAAACTTGAGTTTTCAAACGTAGCTAGGTTTTTTCGAACAACTTCACGAACAATCGGAGAGGTTTTTAATTAATTATTGTATACTTGAAAACAATCTTGCTGATGCTGTACTTTTAAAATAGGTTGAATAAAGATATCCGACACTATTCGTGACTTCTTAATCATGAAGTGAAAATGCACATTCTTATCTATTTTTCACGGTGGAACAAAAGAAATTCACTTGTCTTTTTGTGAGTAATCTCAGAGTAATGACTAACGAGAATATCATCGAAGAAATAAGTGAGATTTGGAATCTGACCATGGCTATTCTCACTGTAGCTATTCTTTGTCCATGGCACACTACAATAAGTCTCACTTTAGTCTACATAGCATTTTTCTTTGGTTATATACGACAATGTGGTCGAGATTTTCTCAAATTTCGTATCGAAGCAAATAAAAGATCTGAACAACTTCAGGAAAAACATTCTCGCGTAGCTAGTCGAACATTGGATTATGTATTCCATGGCGAACGAGTTGCATTAATAACTATCACTGCTAGTTTCCATGTTGCTATCGGGTGTATCTAGTATGCTGTCGATTATGCTGCTGATCGACTTTCATTTGCCGAAGAACTTCTTGGAAAAACATGTACTTTAGCCGCGATTGGTGTCCTCCTTACTACCAATGATAATCCATTAATTGTCACACCCTTATATCATTATCTTTCATCACTCGTCGATCAGTTTGATAATACAAATCAGATTATTATTCGATGTACTCGTCTATTGAAAGAATATGATCTAATTCTACCAATACTTGATGAATATGAAACCCGTTTCGAAGCTCCATAATACGACATGAGAAAATCTCGTATCATTCACACACTTCACTTTTCTTATGAAGAAAAAACAAAACAACGAGCTCGATTCGAATTGAAATTATCTCAGCCAATAATTTTTCAACATGGTGACAGTGTATTAATTACTGGAAATAGTGGAGCAGGTATGCAAAACTAATTGTTTTTCTACTGCCTATCACATCTATTATCGGATGGCAAACAAAATATGACGACTGCCTCTTTACTAGCTTATAAATGTTCAACTGAGAGAACATGATGATAAATTCTTTAATTGAGATCGACATAAATGAGCAAATGCTGAACAAAGTGACATCTTCTATAAGCGGTTTTAAAATCGAAATTATGTCTGTCGAGCTACTCAAAATAAAACGCCTAGATGATTTTCAAAATCGATTTTTCTCGAGAAAAAAATCTTTTTTCTTGAATAGAAAAATCAGACTTTCTATGATATATTAAGTGGTTATATTTCCAATCAAAGATATTCAGCTAGAATAATGATTGATGAAACAATTGAATTACCTAATGGATTTCATAATATTGAATCGCTTCGCACAATTGTACTTCAAGATACACATAGATTTTTGTTGTTCAATTTATACAATGCTCACTGACTCTGAAAACGATTGGTTGAAATCGAATCATTTGTAAAAGATGATCTTGGCGGTCAACTTTATCATCCTCTTGAAAATCGACTAAGTTGTGGTCAAAAAACACGGTTGATGCTTGCAAGAGCACTGAATCAAGCTCAACAGCATCAAAGTCAAATACTTATTCTTGATAAACCTGATCGAGGTTTGCCGAGTGAAACAACATTTCGTATCATGTCGAATATTGGTCGATGGTTTAAACCGAAAGGGATTCTCTTCATAACTTTGCACAATGATCGTGTTCGAGAACGATTATTTGTCGATCATTTATTACATATTGATCATGGACATATTCGATCAGTTCCATTCAATCGTCTTCAAAATGACTCACCTGCTTGATTACTTGCTCTCAAACTAGTTAAGTCAAGCCAAGAACGCGAAAACAGCTTAAGGATGGACCACTGATGTAATCATTTGTCCAACATTAGGTCTCGATGTATTCAATTACGGCTTCCAATCAACAAAACCTTTTTCTTTGTTCCACAAGTCTCATTATTAAACTCTAATTTTCTTTGACTTACTTCTAAGAAAAAAGAATTGAACATCATTTTGATGATGTAGATTTTCAAAGGTCTTCATTTTCCATTGGTGTCAGAAGACAAGTGAAAGCATTCGACCACGACAGTATTACCCTATTCATTTTTTCCTTTTCCACGAGATCTAGGCGCGACACAGAAGTTGAAATCTTGAATAGCGTTGCATGAACCAAGAATGAACAATTGTCAATGGTGATCTATAGTCTATCCTCTACACCAGTGCTATCGATGTGTTTGCAGTTTTATTCCTCAAATATAATGACAAAAAATGAAATAAAAAGGACTCGAATAAAAGCTAAGCAAAATGAGGCATAAAACAGAAATGCATGATTTTCCCGTTTCATAAGAAACCATATGTATTAGCAGAAGTTTAATCAGACAATCTGATTTATTCATGATGATTACTTCAATGTTATTTTTCAATTTTTGTCTTCAATTATTAAGAATATTTACCATAACAAGTGAGTAAATTATTTGTGTTTCGAGATGAAACCTAGCATTTACTTTACGCTTCGTTGATGTTCTGGGATTCACTTGGACTCATCTATATAAAATTACAAAAATATCAATACTATGGTTTATTTTAAGCAATTTATTTATGTACAAAAAGCCTCTAAATACTCTTTCTATACAGATTTATGCATAAATTTTCATAGACGCAGTACAAAGACATAACATATCAAAAATAAGATTGTTTGGAACTGTTTGCATAAGACCATTGAATTTTATCTAGAAAAAGAAACCCGAGATCCAGTCAATCGAGTCTAGAACGACAGAAATACGTCGTGATGTTCATACATCTCATTGTCTATAGATAGAAGGAGGAGACTTTTTTCACGTTCATTGTCTTTATTTGTATCTTTTTCTTTTTTCCATGATGTCAAAGCTTCGAGAATGTAGTTTCTCTAACACAATGATGCAGTTATTCTTATTTGACTTTCTTTCGTGAAGGCAAAGTCTTGTCTAGCTCTTTTCTTGGCATGTCTGGAAAATTATCATTTGATTGTTTCTCTTACATTTGTACAAACACTAACAAATTCACACGATTCGAACAAACCGACAAAAAAAACAATTAAAAAATATTAAATTATATAAAGAAAATGTGAATCACTTCTATTAATAATGAACGTACACACGAATATGTTTGGAAAAAACAATTCGAAGACAAAATATGACATCTTTAGAAGGATAAAAAAAATATGCGTGTAACACCACTAGTGTTCTAGGTTCCATGTGGATCCACAGCTGTATTTTTTTCTCTCTCAGGTCTATTCATGCTTTCTGGATGAAAAACTGTAAAATGGGTTCATTTCGATCCCACAACAGCAACGAAGGGTTCATAATTGAAACTCATGGTGTTGAAACACCTTTTATTACCACTTGCTTGTTTGCATAGTTAGAGCCAAACTTTTAGTTCCGATTATTTCGTATGTGTTTTGTACAATATAGATATAATAACGAGAATATGTTTTCCATATCTCTCCATATCCGATGTTTTTTAATACTAGACGATAACAAGCAAGCGTATCATTTATCGAGTAAAACTCTGTACTTCTTATAGAAAGAAAGTATCGATAATAAAAATATCGCTATTCACCACGCCTATGCCCTTTCTCATTTCGAACAAACATGGATCTCGCTTGCTTACGGTATTTCCAACTGGAGATGAAGTAAGTAGAATGTTTTTGTCTTGTAGCATATACA